ACATATATTTTATTCAAAAATAAAAACATCATCGTTTTCTCAAAATCACATAAAAGTCACATTATAACATCGACTGAGATAAAGAATAAAATGAAATATTAAAAACACGATGTATCTCGCTGCATTGCGCGAGTACGCTTCTAGTTATTCTTAAATAAATATGTATGATAAAAACTAGCTAGTTAATAAACTAGATATAATGTTGCATTTGGTATATGGAACATGACTGACTGTCCCACATATGATGTGATATAAGACATGACAAAAACTCATTGTCCCACATATGATGTGATATAAGACATGACAAAAACTCATTGTCCCACATTTGACGAGACATGGGACAGAAACAAGGACAAGTTGAAGGTGGGACAAAAAAGCGGCTTATAACTCGCCACAAAAAAACAGGTTAGTTTACGATGACGGGACAATGAAACATGGTCAAAACCAAACCAATCGATAAAATGAAGTTAGGCAACCACTTTGGTTGTGGCACACTCGTTTGAATCAAGGCATTGCCAAAGCCCTTGTAGTCATGGAGTTTCAGTTGAACTGAAGTCAGCGTTATTCGTAGCGACGTAGTCGTCTATGGATTAGTCGACGCACGTAAGTTGATCTCGATAAGCACCAAAAGAAATAAAGTTGTGCAAACTGAGCTGCATTTTGAGGTTAACCGAACCACAAAAACACACAAATCTTCAGCAATACACGAAACAAAGCAGATCTTTAAGGAAGAACACGAACCAGAAGACAGCAGAACCAAGTGCAAAAACAGGAAATGTACAATGAAAGCCAAAGATAACAGAGTCGAGAACACAGCCCGACATACCAAAACTTGCATATTTTCAATAAATTCGACACCTTAAAACGTTCATATGATGCATTATAATTACTACGATTATATGAAAACATGCTGCATTTACATCTAAACATCCACTTTTGTAACGACTTCTTTTCAAGGCGATAACAAACAGAAGTAATTGAATGGCCGATGCATCACAAAGAATGCTTCCAATCATTCTCTAACGTTCCTGTAACCAGAAAACAGTTTAATGTTCCGTTAAGTTTTAAGCTGTCTTGTTCTTGATCACCTGCGGAAGAACACAAAAAAGATGATTCTATTATGCAAATTAAGCGGAAATCAAAATTTTTGATCTGGGATTTTGGAAGCAAGCAAAAGGGTAACATCGAGTCATCGTGTTCTTGATAACCTTGCAAACAATAACAAAAATCGATCTTTTTGTTATGCAAATCGAGGGTAATCAAGATTTCTGATCTGGGATTTCAAAAGCAACCAAAAGGGTAACATTTGGTGGTTTTCTTGGATGGTCCCACTCGTGCAATCACGAAAAAGATCGTACCTTGAACTAGAAATATATTCGTCAACCAATGCCTTTTCCTCATCATTGTAAGCAAACCATCTTTCGCCAGGAGCATTTGCATCCTCGTAACAAAAAGCTGCAAATTTGGTTATAAAATACGTAAATGCATGATTTGAGTTAGCTCGGAACTTCCAAACCAAATGGAAATCAAAAAACGAACCTTGAAGCAGGATGCCTATTTTATAAGAATAGCCTCTCAATTTCCAGAGTTTGCAGCCATTTCTGTCCAAAAGTATGGGCTCTGATCTAACTACATATGATTCCCGCGGTACCTCTTTGGGCGTAAAATAAACCAAATCAATGAGCTGAAGGTACAAGTTCTAGAGTGCGCTATAGTACTATATCTATAGTAAAGGTACAAGCTTTAAAGCATAGCCAAATATCATACCAACCTCTCATTTCGAGCGAATTTGCAAGAGTTTGAGCAGTTTCAGCCTTGATTTTTGAAATAAGATGTTTTTGTTCAGAAATAGAAAGCGGAACTCCGTTGCGTGAAAGGATAGCTTTTGCCACCTCATCTTGTACCTTCTTCTTCATGTTTTTCTCCTAAGTTAAATTTGGGAAACGTGAACTGTTAACAAAACAAAAGAAACCAGATTCCCGGTAGGGACAGGTTTAAATGAGAACGTAAATATTTTGAGAGCATGGGAACCAACTATCATGAAGTATTATGATGAATATCATGAATAGTGAAATCATATGAATATTTTAGGGTTATTCATTATGAATAACTCATGAAATAGTTGGTTTCTGGATTCTTAAAATATTTACAGTTCTCATTTGAACATTCTCCATTCTCAATACTTTTTAGGCTGCAAATCACCTTCTCTCTGTTAGCAATCAACTTCTCTTTCGCTTTCTTCTTTTCTTCCACATTTCGCTCCTCCATCCACAACCTCAACTTTCTATAACCAAAGAACCCATAAAATAATCAGATATAATTAAGCATAAAGCAATAAAAATGAAGAAAAAAAAAGACAGCAATGGAAAATGACTTAACGCAGTGCAAAGAGCTTCATCGCATAAAAAGTTCAAAAGCCGAAGCTTTTTTGAAAAGTTCAATGCATCGTATCCGTTAGGTTCCAAGTTAAAACACTCCAAGAGACTCTCTTTTGGTAGATACTGGGACTCCGAGATGCACTCTTTAAAATCTTCCACCCATGATTTTCCAGAATATCTGCATGAAATTTAAGCCCAGTTTAAGCATACCATGAAGCAATCAGAAACCTTACATATAAACATATCGAGATAAAAAAGGAAGTACTTTTTTCCCGAATCTTCTTCTAGTAAAGAGAGCAATTTGACATGGAACTGAACAATTAATGGTTCATCTCTTTTACGTTCATTCCCGCATGTTAATTCGCTAAGTAAAACTTCAGGCTGCCGTGTCTTTAACTCGAGAACCTAAAATGCATCCGAAAGGTTCATAAATAAACAAACAAACGAAGAAATATATAAATCTTAGAAGTCAAGATGGTAATCCGATATCACAAAATGTATGTATGATGCATAGTTGCATACCATCATGTGATCCTAATGTTATTCTTGCAGTACAAAAGTTTCCAAATTGAATCCAAAATTTACTTATTGCTGAAGTTTTGATGTAGAAATATTAATTTACCGGATATATACAAAAGTAATCGTTACAATCTCTTCCCAAATCTAAATGCATGAAATTCTACCTAAAGGGCTAATTACCGGATATGCATAATGTATCAATTTACTGTTCTCGTGACCATTATACTTTTGTTGAACTTACCTCTCCAAATGCTTCACAGAATTCTAATAACTGCAAAGCATGTCCAATATCTTCCGATGGCATGTCAATGCCTGCTAGATTGATTAACTCGGTACCCTGTGGTAGTTGAATCTCCACATTATGATCTTCGCTCGTTTCCTCATTCGTGTTTTTCTCATCCTGGCAACATTCAGAAGAAATTCAACAGAGTTTATACGTAAATATGTGCGAAGCACCTGCTCAAGGCCATAGATCTTCAAAGCTCATTTCTCATAGAAATTGTACTTTTTGAAGCATTTTCATGTTTCATGTTCTTTTTGAGCTTTCGGCTTACCTCACTTTCGCCATCAACTTCTTGTTTCATCTTTTTTCTTTTCGGTTCATCTCCTATTTCCTACATATTTGTTTTGAGATAACCCATGTGAGACTTTCAAATTCTTTCTTTTTCGTGTTGGAAAGGGAAGGGAGATTATAATCAACCAAAAAATGTGGACCTTATCAGAAGCACTTGGCGTTTTCCGCTTGCCACCACCCTCGACTATTTTGGCCACCGTAGAGCCGTCCATCTTTAAAAGATTGGAAACCGAAGCAAACCCATTCTTCTTTGCAGTATGAATAAGAATCCCAGTTGGACCACAACCTCTCTTCTTCCTACAAGACCCTCATTTTCAAATTCTTAAAAACTGTACTCTTGAAAAAGCTTTGTAGCTATGTAAGACCCTAACCCTAAATAGCACACCATCTTTCTCCCCCAAAGAAGTGCTATCTATTAGTTTGACTTTTTGATGTCAAACTTAAGGAGTACTTCTTGAATACAAAATTGGTATGAATCTTGTTGCAAATATAATACCCACAATAGGTTATATTCAATTATTCATAGTACTTGTATATATAGATACACATTGTCTTGAAAAAGTTGAAAATTGATGTCCATTTTCTAGTTCAAAAGTACCCTATTTAGCAAAGTCAAAATTGAGCTTTTTTGGGGGGATTAGATCTTGAAAATGTAGATATATAGCAACATTTAGAACAAGTAAAACACTTACATGCAAAAACTGCAATTACAAATACCTCTACATCTGGGACATTTCCAATCACCCAATGCTGCTGCTTCCTCAGCTTTCTCTCCATATCTGATTCAACAAAATTATAAACCCTAGATACCATGAATCGCCCAGATCCGAATACAGAAAAACGCTAAGAAGTTGATCGATTTAGAAGTAGGGCAAAATAAAGCAAAGATCACCTGTTGGAGAGGCAAGCTTGGCATAAATTGAGTGGACATTGCTTCTTGTTTTCCCCCTGATTGGTGCAGGATACTGAGAAATCCATCGTCTTCTGTCGACACTGCACAAGAGAAACACGTAGTTTTTGAATCGGTAGATTCAGAGAAAACACATCGATCGTTTTGTTGAAACACACACACACACATTGCATGGAGTGATACCTGGTGACAAGTTTTTCCGTTTTTGGAATCGTAGATTCTGCTGCCAATAACGCGAACACCTGGAGATTTTGTGCGTTTGGGGGTTGAAGAAGAAGAAGAAGGGTTGAGTTGAGTGTGGTCGGGAGTTTGGGGGTGAGTTGACTCATTTTGAATCGGCTTCGTCTTCTTCTTGGAGTTTTTGTGGGTTTGGATGGGTGTGGGTTTAGAGGAAGGAGAAGTACGATTTGCAGCCATGGATGTGACTGGTCGAAGCTGGCTTTGATCTCTCCGGCCTCCTCTATGACGCCGTGATGTTGTGAGGGACTCTTGTCTCAACGGCAAAATTTTCTCTGGTGTACAGGTGGACCCTACATACACAACATATATACATACATATATATACACACACACGATTGGATTCCGATGAGATCAGAAGTTATAACGAGAAACGTAAAAAGAAATGTTTTCTTTTAGATTAATCATAATTGAATATTAATATTAATAAGATACATTGAGATGTATCGAATCAATTATCACAAAATTTAAAAGTGATCAAGGATTCAGATCTTTTATAAAATTTATGAGAATTTCTACTTTAAAGTTTTATTCCACCTGATTTTTTTTATCTAAATATAATAATATATTAATTAACATATGTATATTTTACAATCTATTTGTTTCACGTGCATTCAATTCACATCCTGAAAACTTTTTACATCTAACTTTTATTTTATAAATACGTCAAAAAGATTTATATTATAAACTAAATACATGTGAAATAAATATATGTTAATCACTACATTAAATTATAATCATTATTAATAAAAAATTATATACAATAATACATAATGCATTAATTCTTAAAAATCTCATTCTCAAAAAGAATTTATCTATATATAATTATTACTTATTTTTATTAAATATATAAAATAATCMTTTATCATTATAAAAACAAATGTAGTGTTTTATTTTTAATATCTTCAACCATAAAAAAAAAGGAGTGAAAGAAAATTTTAATTTGTGTTCTTAAAATAGAAATAAAAATGAAAAAAAATAAAAAAAATAAATAAATTTTTATGTTCTTAGTAGTAAGGAAAGTAAAATGTCAATTTTACAAATATATTCTTATTTATTTTTAAGAGGTTATAATTAATGGGTATATATGTAATTTTATAAATATTTATAATTATCATTATTTGTTTCCTTTCGTTTCCTTCCATATTTGGAAAGTTTTGGAATAAAATCATCATTATTTTTCTTCTTTTTTCTTTTCTTTCCTTTCATTTCTCTCCTTAAAAAGACATAAAATGATATATTTTTTTCTTTTCCTTTTACCGTATTTTTATTTTCCTTTGTAAAAAAATAATTGAAATCACAACGAAAACTTTTTCCAAAATAAAAAAAGAGAATAAAAATCTTCAAATATGAAAAACTTTACAAAATAAACGTTGAGAGCATCACCAACAATTATATTATAATTTTTTTTAATAAAATATCTAAAATCAAAATCTCTAAAATAAAATAAATATAACTCCATTAAATAACAACTACTTTATTTTAACATTAATTATATTATATAAATTTATTATCCTGATATATTTTTTTTAAAAAAAATTATAGAAAATATAATTCATTGAACAACATTCATGGAAGCAAATAAAATAACAGATTTTTCCTTGATATTAAGTTTTAAATATTTTTGAATTTTTAGCATCTGCAACAACTATGTTAAAATAGAAGTTTTATATATTTAAGAGATATTTTTACTCCAATAAATATATTATAGTGTATATTTAGAGAGAGAGAGTGTGTGTGAGATGGTGAAAATCTCTAAATTTAGAAAAATTTCTAAAACTCAGTATTTAAGAGAAATAGATTAAAAAATATTTAATTATTTCCCATCAATATATAAAATATTAAAATTAAATATTTAATAAGAGAAATAGTATTTTATTAAATACTAATAAATATTTTAACAAGAGTAAATTACATAATAGGTCCCTTATTTACGGGTGCATTTTGGTTTTGGTTCCTGAAATTCATAAAATGCACCAACCAGGTGGCCATTTTTCGTGTTTTGGAGGCCAAAATGGTCCCTTGAGTTAATATTATTGATGTGGGGTCCGTTAAGATCATGTGCCCCTTACGTGAGTGGCAATTGAGTCTTTTTACACTTTTCTTCCTACCATCTCCTTCCTCCTCGACCAAAAGTACACCAGCACCACCATAGTTACCGACCATCAAAAATAAGAAAACAAAATAAATACCACAAAGAACGCGATTAAACCTAAACCAAAAACTCATACAAATTTAAGAATATTCGTACAACTCAAATCTCAAGAATATTCAAACAAAATAGAACTCGAGAACATTTTAGAAAATCATATTCATATACAAGAAAGAAAACCTAAATGTAAATTTAAATACAAGTCCCTAAATCAAATTTTTAAAATAAAATAAAATTTTGAAACCCTAAAGAATTTTAAATGAGACTTTTGCATATCGAAAGCCCACAATTTAACCTAATAATCGAAAACATAGACGATTTTAGATCATATTCCCTTGCTTCATCACCCCAAATAAAAACCCCACAATCTCACCACCCAAATCAGAACCTATAAATAGAGAAATCATATTGTAACATCCTGATTTTTGTCCCAGTTAAAGAAAGTGTTGAACCGAGTGATCCAGTAAAGAAAAGTTAATTATGGAGTTTGACTATAGTGTCATGAGATAGTGACGTCTGTTACAAATGGCATTAATGGTACTAAGAGTATGTTTATCTAAACCATTGTGCCATGCAGTTGTGACATCTGTCACAATAGCACCCATGGTGCTGAGAGTATGGTCATATTGACTATTGTGCCATGCGGTAGTGACACCTGTCACGATAGCACCAGTGATACTGAGTCTTTGGTGGTCCCGACGATTGTGCCATGCAATAGTGGCACTAGCACAATATAACAACCGGCTCTTTGTAAAAGTGAAATCCCAAGTCCCATATGTGTTTCACCCTTCGAATATTTTGACTAAGGCGAGAAATGGGGTCAAACTGGTGAAAAGTAGAAAAAACTATCGATCATGGGAGAGTGTCCGACTATAGTGTCATTGGGCACAATAGCATGTCAGGGTCTCCAAGAGAGAAAAGGAGCCTTGTTACAACCCGGGTGTTTGTGCCAAACAAGAGTGACATGGGCACAATTGCATGTCACCATCTTAGGCGACTTGCGATGCTTAAAATCGAGATTTTCTTCATTTGACCATAACTTCTTCACCTCTACTCCGATTTTGGTGATTCAAGTTGCTATAGATCCCTATTTTGAATTTATTCAAGATGGAAACAATGAGGATTGGAGTTTCATCAAATAAATGAGGTCCCTATAAGGTAAGATTTTAGGGTTTTTGCACCATATTTAGGGTTTGGTTCATGAATCTAATTTAGGGTTGCTTTTGGTGTATGTTGGGTTTGTTTATGACTTAGATTAAAGTCCTAATGATGGAAGTTGTGGATCTAAAATATCCACCAAAGGAATCTCAAAATTGGGGTAAAACCTAGATCTAGCCTAAATCTAGCAAAATGAGTTCAAGTTGCTTTGTGAAAACTATGTACATGCCAAAATGTGTATTTTGAAGTATTCATGTGTTCTACTTGATATTTATCAAATGTGTTGAGTATTTAACAAAATTGCATATTTGGTAAATTTGGGTTGGTAAATCTTGTGAAATACCTACACTTAGGTTTTTAGATATTCTGATAAATAAATCTCAAAAAGGTCTATATTTGGTGATTTATTGCACAAATGGATATTATTTGATATTAATGCATTTTAGTGTATTTGGTTTTATAAAGCGTTTGGGAAATGCATGTTATTATATTAAGAGACATTTTGGAGGTAATATGATATGTTTTCATTTGGAAAATTGTTTGTCTTACCTAATGATGAGTTTTTGAGTTAATCATGCATTTAAAGCATGTATTTGCATAAAGTTGGTTAAATATCTTCCATTCCTTTTGATGACTTCTATTTTGTACTCGGTTTTAACTTAAATGAGTCTTAGGGACACTTATCTGATTTAATTTGCTCTATGTTGGGCTTTTGGAATTATATGCGATTATGGCATGTTTATTTGGAATTACATGTGCTGAGTGCGTTAGTCATTCAATTGGAGTCATGTAACTTAGATTGTAATGTAATGGATCCATAGGCATAGGAGTCGGTTTGTTGTTTTATAAATGAGATCATAATCCCTATTTTGAGCTTGGTATCTAAATAAGCGACATACATGGAGTTGTTGAGCTTCGTATCCATGTGAGCAATAGACCTGGAGTGGTTGAGCTTGGCGCCTAAATAAGTGACATACCTAGTGTGGTTGGTTTGAGGCCTATATGAGCGATAGACATGGAGTTGTTGAGCTTGTTAACTCATTAAATTATAGATCTGGAGAGAATAAACTTAATGAATAAATATAGATATGTGTCCTACTTTTGTGTTCCGTCACATTTAATGGAATCGGGTTTTCCCCATCACCTAATGATGTTATTTTCGGATATAATATTATCCTTGTTTTTAGCATTGTGTTCGAGTATAGAGCATTTTTCTAATATTCGTGGTTTTGGGTTTTGAATCTTATTTTTCATTCTTGGGCATTGTAATTATTAAAGTTCTTATCCATGATTAAAATAATTGAAACCTTAAATCTTATTTACGTTTCTAGAATGAGTGTTGGGTTTTGAGTTTATATTGAATGAGTATTCTGATTTAGAGCTTTCATCATGAAAACAGTGGGTTTTGGAAAGAAGTTGCTTCTACGATAAATACATTTTATTTGAGAAATCATGTTTCAAATAAGCAGTATTTCAGTTGTATTGTTTTATATTTATGATAAAAAAAATGCTTGAACTCACTAGACGTTAAAGCCTAGCATTTTTCTTTGTTGGTGTGTGCATTAGGTCCTTAGGGAATAGTACTAGGGATACATTGGTGTGATGAGTGCTAGTAAAAGGCTCGAGAAGTAATTAGCAAGTCGGAGACGACTTTCGCTTTTTTGGAGATAGCGACTATTGTTGGGTTTTAGTAACACTCGACTTTGACTTAGTCTTTATGTAAGGCTTGGTTTATCTTTGCTGATGTTAAATCTAGATCATATATTCGAGTTAGTTTAAGTATTGATTTATAGTAAGGGATTTATCCTTTATTTGTTGTATTATTGGAAGTTTTAAATTAGTCGGTCTTTCCAAATTTGAGGGTATTACACATATGCAACCCAGGGTTGCAAAAATGGAGAAAAAAATCGAAAGAGGAGCTTCATTAGAGAGAAAAGCTTTGTGGATTCTTAACGGGGAAGGAG